TGAATCAGTTCACATCAAAATGTGGAAATTTTTGCTAGCTCTACGGAATCGGTTTAGACGAGCAATCATGCAGGCAGTTCGCCATAACCGCGTTATGTGGTCATCCTCGCAGTGAAAACCTCATGTTCATCTCAAGCACTCCAAAGGCGACATGACTTCAAAAAGGCCCCCTGTTGCAATCGGTAGCAGAAGTGATCAAAGGAGCAGTGGAGAAGGAAAAATCAAGAATTAGCTTCGCGTTCAAATTTTGAACCCATTTTCGCTCGATGATTGCGGCCTTGGAGGAGCCGGATCATTTGGCGAGCACGTGCAGATGTCTTCACCGCTAAATTTGGTATCATGCGATCAAAAATGATCCTTTCATTTGCAACGCTAGCTTAGAGAAACTAAAGACACGACGTCTTGAAAATAGATGCTTTCCAAATTGAAGACCAAAATATCTACATATGGCGATTCATACGATGATCCAAAATGCTTCTTTTAGTACTTAGCGGCTTGGTGGGTCTGGAAAGTGGAGAGCACCTCGCGTAAGGCCTTACACCGCTACACTACCCTTGAGAGTTGCGCATCGTGCGACTTCTTTAGGGAGCCTGCATCCCTTTCGGGAAGGAAATCTTCTTCTGATGAAATTTTTCGCTGTTAACGTCATGCTGTTAGTAACTGCATGATAATTTCAAAAAGCGGAGGGAATGCAGGGCAAACATGTATAGAAATCGGCCAGTTTCCACTTTACGACTAGTAGTGCTTTACACTGAAATTAATGAAGTCTCAATAATTTAATAAGCAGAACTACTCCAGCAATCTCGGAGCGGTTACTGATAAAATGGATCCTCGCTGTACCAACCCTATGATTTTCGTTGAGCTGCTTGATGATCCTTTCCCAGCCGTCCTTATCATAGTTTTGCCGATAAAATCCATGCCGGTCGGCGTTCACAACAATGGATACATCAGAACTATCCACGTGGAAATAGAGCGGCTTATCTGCAAAAGAGATAAAATTTATATCATTATCATAAAATTATGGATTATTATCAAATTAAATTATGGATTATTATGGAAGTATGGATATGGATATACATTCCATCGATAGCTTTCACATAGAAAATCATCTAGTTGATTTCAAGAGCTTCAGTTTTCTTCAAATCTTGTTTTTTCTTGCATTTTGCATGTTAAAAATTTCAAGAAACATTTAAATGAACTGCTCATCGTTCCGACGCGATCGCTCGCCCACGGTTTTTTTCTCCGAACTGCAGAGAAATCTTTGCCAAAATCTGTATAATTTGCCACTACCAATCGTATATGATTGGTTGGATATTTGCCACTATAACTTCTGGTAAACTTCCTCTTTTCTCCTGGCTTCTTCTTTTCCCATACAAAATCTTCACTATTTTAGAAAATATGCATTGTTTACGATTTGGGTTACTGAAGAATTTATCGAAACACTTGGGGATCTCCATGTACTAAAGCCACACCTTCACAGAAGGCAACCCAGTTGACTCTAAGAACCGGATGTTGTTTATTTAAGTTTCTGGAGCACGAGAAAATTTCTGACTCTAAACATCTCCAAGGTTTCGATACCGCTTAAGGAGTTAGGGTACGGCTTTGAGAGTTAAGTTTTAATTTGGTTCCATCTTTGAATGCAAGGAGCACCACAGATTGTCGCCATAATTGCTGTGAAATCCAAAAGTTTCGTGAAAGACGCCTACCAATTTCATCAGCGGGGCGTGTGTGAACAGAAAGACCTATTAGGCCCATTGCTGGTATCAAGCGGGGAGGAAGCCTTATAATTCTGTTTTCTCCTAGAAAGATTAATTAAAAAAGTGGGGTCTCATGGCTTTTTTAAGCTCACAAGTATGAACTGTTGAAAGCATTGAGGAGACCGCCAGTCTTGACTCCTTTAAATAACTCTGGTTTTACAATATCTAATATAATATCATTAATAATATCATTATACATATAGTGGATTTAAGGGTCTCTCCCTTCGTGTGGCAATAATCAACAATCAGATGAATAGGGAGAGAGTACGGGTTACTGTAAACAGATGGTGATATTGGATGATACTCCCAGCCTAGCAGTATTCAAGGGCGCGGATTGGGTAGTTTGACCAGTTTCCGCTCCAAACCGTTTGGGTGGAGTAAGTCTCTATCATAGAGGCACAGCAGGATGAGCTACCGAAATCTCCAAAATATCATCTAATCTACTACCTTGAAATCTCAAACCAGAATAGGTGCTAAGCATTGAAGTATCGCCGCATCTAAAAGATGAACACTGTTGGTTCCTTGAAATTTTATGTTTGCTTCTGTGCCGAATAGGGTTAGGATAGTGGATCTTTATTGAGCCTAAAGTTTTGAAAAATTTTTTCGTTATCAAAGGCCACAATTCCACCAATGCCGATGACCGCCCAGCCTCCGTCAGTGACTCAAAAAATCAGTAGAACAAAGATTCGAAGAAAAGCGGACATGAAGCTTGCAGCATAGTATGCAATCCTAACCCGAGAAAGGGTTGTTTGCAGCCATCCAAGATTAATCCACTCTGCTGGGTTAGCGTTTTGGCTTCTTGCCTTACAAAGGGAAGGATACCAAGTCGAAGTGGCCATCCGTAATGAAACCTATACTCAGAGATGTGTTTTCGGACGCTGATCTCGAATCCACTCTCCAAATTTGCGAAACGACTCTCTAAAAAGACTTACGGAGGTTGTTCAAAATGAAAGCCCACTATAACAGACTTCGGCAGACAGAGACTGCCGACGGCTGCATAGCCGAGAGTTAGTGTTGGCGGCTTACATTGGTGAGACCATGATTAAAATCTCGGTGGACAGGAGATTTCTGCTCTTTAATTTCGGCTTCGCTATTCACGGAATGAAAGATGTTGTCAGAGCGTGGAATTTTTCAATGTCCGTTTTCTAGCTATGGGTTTAGAGCCGGCTCCAAGCAGTATCACTTTGTCGTTATGTTTTCACGCCGTCTCTATCTCAACGCGACCAAACTATCTTTGGAAAGGATTTTCGCAACAATGATTGAAAATTAAGTTCCATCCCATGATCAGGCTCTGACAATGGGTTGATGGATAGATGACTGCCCACATTTTCGACTTTAAGTCAAAATTTTAGATTTGGACCAAAATTTGTTGTAAGGGGTATCTTGACGGCGTTGAACACGAATATTACCTCTGGTTGGAGCGAAGTTTGCCTGCACGTGCGCAACGGGCTGCTTTAAGCGCCGTCATTTTTGCAAATAACAGTGTTTGAAGTAATTCGCAAGCTCTATTCCGCTTGTGATACATAGGCAATCACTGATGACTTTGCACGGATAAGAGCCTCTCGAACAACGTCCTCAAAAAAAGAGCTTAAGTGGGAGAGCTCGCCAAAAACTTAAACTCACAACCTCTTGGTCGTGGGCCTGGGCCGCTGCCACTGCACTATCTCGCTTCATAACTACATTCAGAGAATCGTTCCGCAGATTTAGAGGGCAGGTTCAAGATCAGTGTCCAAAAACACATTTAGTAGTGGATGTCTCGTTACAAATGGCCACTTCGCCTGGTATCCTTCCATTGTTAGTAAGGGCATGAAAACGTCAAAAACAAGGTTTTCATTCTCTCCACATGCACTCGTCACATTCTATTTGGAAAACTGCGTGGTATATGCTCCCCCATAAATCCTTCCCAAGCCTCATGTTGATCTGCATGTTTGCACTATTTGCAGAGATCTGCATACCTCTGGTTAGCCAGGTCCGCTTGATCTTCTGGTTTTCGCCTTCTTGATACCACAGAGGGATATCCCACTTGAACCTGTAAGCATTGCCTGCCAAGTGTTTAGGATTGTGCGCGAAACAAGAGCATTCCAGTCTCTTCGAGTATTATTCGAAGATAGCAAATGTAAAAGTGGGCTGACCCGTATTCTGGGTGTATTGCGCGTACTTCATCCAACTCCCTAGGGTCCTTGTAGTGTTTGTACTGAGACACTTTAAAGTTGTCGTGTGTTGAATGTCTTTCACGTTACCATTGGTCCCATCTGAATATAGGCAACGATTCATGAGTGTATCTGTAAAGAGACAAATAAAAGACAAATGCCGCATTTGAAATAAGTAGTAGAGCGTGTATGGCGTTCAGCGTTGTTACGCGGATTTGGTGGAGTGACTTCGTAGGTGGATCACATTGAGGAAGGGGCGAACCATGTTTTCAATACGCGGTTCGTGGGTCCTTCGACGTCCATGACGCTTCGCACTGAGAAGCGAATTCAGTGGTTTTCATAGGGTTACCGTCGGGTCCTTCGACGTTCTTGACGACTTCGTCGAAAGCTTCCCACAGATCAGAAGCTTGTGTGTTGTTGTACGAAAATTTCTTGAGGTAATGCTAAAATAATATTCCTAAAAATGTAATTTCTATCTGAATTCCTGATTTAAAATGTTTAATGAAAAGTACAGGTTGCTCCCCTTCTCCCACGCTGTTCACTTCACAAATGGTGAACCCCTTGTTCTGTCATTATCACATTAGACGGCACGGTCGAACATAGAGTACGACACTGGCCACATATTCGGCACTGACCAGTTGGTGAGCTGCCAAAGGGAAGGCTTAAAATTTAGCGTAGTGCGGATGGAGACCCTACAAGAGCTATTTAATATGCGCCAAAATAATTCTCAACCTTGGCGTGTATCATGAAGAGACCCTAGTTGCCTGCCTAATTTTGCCAATGGGGAGAGAAGGTACTGTCATGGCACGTTCAAGGCACATTCACGATTATGGTATGATTCTGATTGATATGATTTTGCACACAAAAATGGAAGCATAGAGGCAGGCTGGACCGACTAATAAGAAAAAATGAAGAGAACCAGCTGAAAACGTTAAAAAAACATGGGGACTCATTTTTTCTTACTGGTACTGTGCAAGAAAGAATTACTGGACGCGGAGGAGAGAGGACAGGCGAGAGGAGCATTGTGAGCGAGAGGCGCCGATACCTTACATTTTACTGCGCGAAAGCGGTCGAAGCGGTCGAAGCGGTCGAAGCGGTCATGCAAGGTGCCAATGGCTATATCCCGTGCTTTGGTGCCGCTATAATGGCACATTTGCAAATTTCATGAGCAGCTCTGTCCTACCCACCGAATGAAATGATCCACTTGAGCTCTCCGGGAAGGGTGCCTACCAAAAGGAACTGCAGCGCATACTGGTAAGCAGGGTGAATATTGCTTGAGGATTCCTCAACGGCACGTCGAGGATTTTCGCCTGATCCTTTACGTTCTCGCGCGCGGATATTCACTCTCGCCACCCGCGAGCCGTCTGTGCTCTCCGCGCGTACATTCACTCTCGGCACTACTCTCGCACAGCAGAGAGCGATGGTCGAGGAATTCCTCGACCGTTATTCACCCTGCTGGTGAGGAGAATTTGATCGTGGCAACTTTGCACGGCCGGGTCTCTATATTATGCATGAACAAAAAAAAATAGAGCTCAGTTCCGA